GTTCTCTAGCGGCAAAACCTCTGAGTAAAGTACAAGTAGTCCGTAAACCCTTCTGCCCCTACCGTCCAACGGTCTATGCTATAAATAGTGTGGTCGAACCTGGTACTGTATGGAAAACTCCGTCTTCAAAACTATAAAAACGCGTCGAGAAGAGAATTTGCCGTTGATATGTTAACTGTGGAAATAGCCTAGCTATTTCCACAGCTAGCTACGCTATATTCCCAAGTTTCACTATTTTCAATAATGGCACAAAGGCACAATCCAGGCAGAAGCTATGTCAACGATTCCCTTCCTTCTGTAGCGGATAGAGCCCGAATTTATAATTACAGATGTGGCACTCCCGTGCATGGAAATCACTCGACAAGGGCGCTAGGGCTTTGCAAAGTAAGCTGCAGCAGCTGCAATTTTTATCAGGCTGTTGTCTGGCGCCCTCTCATCTGTTGCGCTCTCTCGCCTCATACTCTCCTCTCCGCGCTTAGTCTCTCATTCCCTTAGCACAGCCGATTAGGAAGGTGAGTGAGCCCTTAACCTAAGCGTTTTCGACAGATTCTTTTCCTTTTTTCTTACTGCTCGGCCCATTTAGCACCAATACTTTCCTACTTTGCAAAAACCTCACCACTTCGATCCCTGGGGCATGCCTTTAAAGACAAGAAGTTCGTAGTATTTTTGAATTCTGAAGTTTGAAAACGAAATGATAATTTATTGAAGGCCCCACATTCTCAACTGAATTTCCAATCTCGAAGACTGTTACCAAAAATTACCTGAAATGTTAAAGCAGATATCAGGTTGATGTAGCGTGCCATTGACCGACGGATCATGCGACCTCGTACATCACTGCCCTGCACGTATGCAGATATTTGCAAGCACAATCTAGAACGCACCTCATATATAGATGTAACTATCGGCTCACAGAATGAAAAAGTGAGAAAGCTTTTCAATTTTTCCCCAAGTATCACCTCAAATTACAGTGCAACTGTACCATTTGCCGTGCCTATTGCCTACTAGATGATGATCCTGAGGCAGATAAAGAACAGTTTGAAGGCATTTCCGTTGTTAAGCAGATATGGGTCGAAATATTGGTGAGCTGAACGTTCATAATTCTCAGCCTTAGGGGCTTAACTATAACAAAAGTGCAAAGAAAGCAAAGCATAACCATGATGGGTGACCGCAATTAGACTATCTATCTGACGAAAGCAATGTACGCCCAATATTAGGAACATCATAACCTTTGCAGAAGAGGGGTAAAACAAGGCTCTAAGTGGAACACAAGCACGTAAGAACCTCACCTATCTGGCCAAGGTATGTTTACATACTGCTGCCACCACCTGCCAACAATGAAAGTTACGTAGAAACCCATCACAAAGGTTATTGGCACTACCGAAGTAAAGTCACGACAGTAAATGGCCAGCGATTCGAATGACCTGAATGAAACCATTTTCTGTTGACGCAATTTACTTGAAGAGCATTGGCTGTCATCTTACAAAAGCTAGAAAATAATCTTACTTTTTCATTCGATCGTCAGAGATGTATCTATAAATTAGCATAACAGCATAATAGGCGAGTAGAAAACAAGTCATTTCCCTGTACATCAATCGATATATTGATCCTTTCCATCGTGTCAGCAACTTCGCAAAACCCCAAAAACGAGCTCGGCTGACTTCCAAAGTATAAGTGATTGTCATGCCTGCATTAAAATTTAACAAATGGTGTAAAACGTTATAGGAGATCCGAAAACGATACGCAAAGATCTGCCAAAGCATAAGATACCTACGCAAACCTAGCTACTTCAGCACCTAGTGGACTGGTGTGGAAGTTGATGCATCGCTTTTTATTTATTTTCTTTGTAATTTGTGCAGCGTAACGCAACAAACCTCAGTGAGTGGGGTTGGTTAGGAAGGGGGGGGGGGGAAGGGGACCACACGGCGGTTCTGCTCCTCCAAAGCTTTGTCCAAGGGGCAGTTACTATTTCGTCGCCACGTGGC